TCCCCCCCCCCCCGGGGGGATGGCCACGCCACAATCCCTTCTTCTCCGTTCTCCTCTCGGGATCTTGAGCACGCACGCACACGCGCCCAGTGTGAGTTTTAAGCCACCACGCCCGGGACGCGAACCACAGTCGACTACATGGGAGTCCAGCAACATAGCCATTATGCTAACTGCTGGGTCCCCTTTTTATCTTCTTTAGATCCATGAACCTCTTCCCTCTTAAGGGACAAAAGTAGTTATGATAAAGGGTGTTTTGAAATATTTCTTCCATGTCTGTCAGTTAGTATCTCATGCCTTTCCTTTTTGTCAATTCTCCCTAAAATTCACTTTTTCCAAGTCATTTCCATTATACTCACTTTCCAAATTCATCATTTTCATTCCATTTTCTTAATAAATACATAAAATTCTCCATTACCTTTTCAAATGAATAGAAGCAATACTATTGGTAATTCAGAAGTCATTTCTATGTGACTCAAATTGCATTGGTTTTGTGGAAAATGGACTAAAATCCTTTCTGATCCAGGGTAAATTTGTATAGTACCTAATCTTTCATTAACTGTTAAGTCAAGGAATGGAGCTTGACTTGCGATTGTGGAAACAGGAAACTGATAGGCAACAACTTTGGTAGTAATTATTTACCAAAATTACTACTATTCAATTAATTAAAACCTTGCTGCAGATGTATATATTTTCTTTTACCTATGTATATAGTCTACTTTTATAGCCTATTCTCAATTATCCTTGTCAGTGGAGGAAAACAACAAATTGAACAAAAGTGAATTATTCAAAGTGAATTTGTCCTTGTTTCTAAATATACAGACACTGGGCAGGCTCTGTGGCACAGCAGTAATGGGCTGGTGAAAAGGAGCTGTATTCTGGGGCCAGCAGGTGGCATAGTGGTTAGGGTGCTGGACTCCCATAAGGCAGACCATGGTTCCAGAGCGTGAAAATCATGCCAAAGGGATTGCAGCATGGTCATCCACCCTGGGGAGTGATTTCTGGGAGTGATTTCTCACTTTCCCTTTCTCTGTCTTTCTCTATCTCTCTCTGTCTCTCTCCAGTGAACACACATACCCTACGGAAAAAAAAAAAAAAAAAAACTTAAAAAAAAAAAAGGAGCAGTATCCCACATAGCAACTGTGGTTCCAATTCCTGTCCTAGTCAGCAGAAACACAAGGGCATGGGCCATGTTGTATGAGTGCCCAAGATTTGATGGGCTACAAGACTAGAGGAAGGGGCTTCAACACAACCAGACCCTATGGAGAGTACCTCGCTTTCTCTCTCTCTCTCTCTCTCTCTCTCTCTCTCTCTCTCAATCTCTCTCTCTCTCTCCCCCCATATGTGCTTTATCTTAAAAACAAAACAAAACAAAAAGCACTAAGTGTACAGATATTGTTTTCAGCTATCAATTCAATCTAAATAAAGATCTACTATAAAAGTTACGGGACAGTAACTGATGTCTGATACTTATCTTCTTCAAAGCCTTTCCAGGAGAGTTGATATTTAAAAGTCATCATTGGACTGGCACCTTGGCCTAATGGTTAAGAGAGCCAGATCGCACATGGCCAAACATGTTTTGAATCCCAGTCATATCAGTGTGAAAAGCACTCTAGGTATAGGTGTGTGTGTGCGTGTGTTTGTACAAAATCTCAACAGGATGGAGAAATGGAAAAGAAGGGATCGTGGAATGACCATACCCTATTGAAGGGTACTTTCTCCTCCTCTCTGTCTGTCTCCCTATCTCTCTCTGACAAGTGCATGTGTTCTCAAGCAATTAAAAAAAAAAAAAAAAAAGGAAAAAGCAGAGAACCAGTAGATGGCATGGTGGTTAAGGTGCTAGACACTCCCACATGGCCAACCACGGTTTGAGTCCTGGACCTGGTGGCTTGCTTTCTGACTCACTCTCTCTCTCTCCCCCATCAAATTTAAATGAATGAATGAATAAATAAAATTTTAAATACTTATTTTTAAAAAGGAAAAAACAAACCAACTCATCCTTGACAAAATTCTGACTCTATCCAAAAAGTAAACCCACAAAGGGCTGGATGGCTGGTACAGCAGTAATGCACTGCTCAGGGGAAGCTGGATCCACTTGGCCACCATGGTTGGAATCTCTAGCCTGCCTGTGTGTGAGTGCCCAAGATATAACAGACTGCAAGAGAATCATGACATGACCAGACACTGTATGCGGTACTCCTCTCTTTCTCTCTCTTTTTCTCTCTCTCTTTCACTCTCATGTGTGTTGCACACATTCTATCATGAAAAAGAAAACATGTTTTAAATGTATATAGCTACTGTTAATGAACTCTAGTACTAATTATTTGACTAATAGTTATTTTCCTACTATTTTTTATTTTCATGTTAACTCGTTTGTCCTTTTTCCTCATGAGAAGCTATTAAATTGTGAAATTTATTATCTTTACTATGATTATTTTCTTATTTCAGATTATGTAAGTGCAACTCAGAGTAGCTAGATCACTTGCCTAAGGTCACACTGCTAATAAGGGGTGAACCTAGACCTCATCCCCAGGCCTTTACCTCCAAAGGCCAGGATCTGAACTATATTAATGCATCTAGAAAACAACAATAAAAACTTGACCTCTCATGAAACTTCTAGGATTACTACAATAATAAAAATTTTAGAATATTCGAGCTATGTCCTACTACCAAGTAACAAATTCTTTCCATGTCTATCTACCAGCCCAAGGCTATTTCAGCTTTGACATCTGGTGACTTGGTTGTTTTTCGTGTTCCCAACCTTTTAAACCCTGACATGATGTTGAATTGAGACTAGAAATGATGAAGTGTGCACACAAAGCAACTTTATATACCTCAATAACTTTTTCCCCAGAAACAAAGATTTTTTTGGCTGCTTCACTGAAACCTGAGGTTTTGTAAATAGCTCATAGAGAAAATTAAGTCACTGTTATAGTGGGTTGTCATTATCACCCTCTGTTCTTTTCACATTTATTAAGTACTTTTCACAGGTATAAATGCATTCTTATCACATTTATTATCTGTTTAATACCAGTAATTTTTTTAAATTACTTGTTTTACCACATATTTAGGCTACAATAAAGATCAGCATTAGATCAATCTATAGACTGACTTTAATACATTTGTTCACAGAAAGCATATAAATTCATTAGAAAACTGAGCTTTCATAAAGTCATTCTGTTTCAACACACAAATGAACTTCAGTAAGTCAATAGGATCAACTGAGACATCTATGCTCAAATGTGTTCCCTAGGCTTAATGTATTTTTCCTCACTGCATTATATTTTAATGATTAATTTCATGCTCTTTCATGGTATTTTAGCTCATGAAGCATGGGTGTTACTTTGAGGAAAAGGTAAAGTGCTCTGTGTGATGGAAGATGTTACTGATTAAAGCATGTAGCACTTATGAACTATATGAAAGCTAAAGTTGTCTGAATACCAACACTCCTAGATTATAAATAATACCAGGCAGAATGGTCACATAGACTAAGGCTAGATGGTGTTGAAGGCAGTTGTGAAGGCTTGGACTTCTTACTTATTCTTGTTTGAAACAGGAGATGAAATTAAGCTGGTCATTGAACATTTCACTAGTATTTTTGTCCTCAGCAGAGTGGGAGTAGAAGCTGATTTCAAAGACAATTCCAAGAGAGAGAAACAATTCAGTAAAGTAGATAGCATCCCACTCTGAAATTAGGCAGCCAAAACCACCCATTCTCTGACCCTCTGATCTCTGCAATCAGTACTGCCTGAATACTATCCTAAACTTAGGACATTATTTGACTTAGCAAAAAGAAATGTTAAGTTAAAGTTGCAAGGAAAGACTATAAACTGAATCAAATGAGGTGGGGGGGAATAAAATACATTTTACCCAAATTAGACATGTCCACATAATATATTGGCTCCTGTAACTAAAATAGATTTTTCAAACCAAGCTATGGAGTCTGGAAAAAACACTACCTTCCCCCAGAGTGCAAAGTTTCTCCCATGACAGAGGCAAAATGTAGCAAAAGCAGTTCTCCTGCCAACAGGTGGGTTTAAAGTTTTACTTAGGTCATCAAAAGGATTGAGGAAAGGAAAATTCTGGTATTTCTAAAGTTCATGCCTCCCCCCCCCCCATGTTCTACCAGAGTTGGAGATGCACATTAAAAATTTTTAAAAAAAAGCCCCAGGCCCCCGAACAAAACAAAAAGTATGAAACACTAAAAAAGTAGTTTGTCTTCTCCCAGAAGTGCTAAGCTTGGGTTAGCATGCCTAAAATCACCGTTTATGATTAAACTCTCTCATCAGATACATCAAAGGTATCAGAGAGAACACCAAGAAAATGGCCCTGGAGTCTTAGGTAGAACCTGTTCACAGGGAGAAAAAAAAAAAAAGAAAGAAAGAAAAAAGACGGCATTGCGACTGAAGAGGAGACAAAAGGGAATCAAACATTGTTGAGAGGAAAGACAAATTTATTTCTGTTGTTCCGAGGGCACTGCATTTTTCAGTTCCCCAGTACTTGGTTCCATTCCCCTGTTAAATTATTTCATAAACAACGCGAAGGCTAGCGGGGACCGCTACGGCTGACACACACATCTTTTTATTTCTGTTCCACTCTGCAAACCGCAGTACTCAGCTACTGAAGGTGGGCGCGTGGACAGGTGTCCCGAAAGGGCACAGGAGGGGGAACGGGGAGGAGCAGAGGCAGAAGGGGTGGGACAGGGGCGCTCCATGCCCCGAGAGTCACCTCTCGGGAACTCTGGTGCCTCTTCAGTCCCCGTCGCCACCCCGGGCAGGACCGGACAGGCTTCTCCAGTCCCCTAAGTCAGCAGACAGGTCCCGACGCACCGGGCACCCTGCGGTCGCCGGCAGCCCTCCGCGCCTCTGCCCGCCTGCC